AAAGGTTTCTTCCAATAAATGAGTTTCATACTACGAGTATGTGGTTCAGCCCAAAACTGCTCGACGTTCTGCGCAATGCACAAATAGATGTCGCACCACCAAAACGGTAGACCCATCTAGCAGCCTGCAGGGCTATTACGTCAATACCTAAAAAAATTACAAAATGTTAACTTGCTGCCTAGATAGTTCCTAGCGAGCAAATAGTATATTTCACCAACCAGGGGTTTTCTTTCTTTATCGCTTTATTTTTTTAAATTCAGCAAACTTGCATACTTAATTTCCAGTTTGAATAAGAAAAACCGGATGGGCAACTATTTTTAACTTTGCATTCATCTCATGTATGTGAGTTTGAGACAAGAAACCACTGGAATTGTCTCAGCACAGATTATTAGCTCACAAATCCTCAGTATACACCTATGCTCTGCCGTTTCCTTCCAACTATAGTATTCAACTTGCAGCTTTGACCTCCAACAATGCTATCTCTGAAGCAGATGTTACATTACATCCGAACCAAACATTGATAGCGGAAGCAGTACATGTCAAGTGTACAATAGCTAGTGCTAAGTTGACATCTTGTAGAAAAACCTACATAATGTCACAAAAAAACCTATATATTGTAACCTCAGGCTGAATAGGATCTATTTGCTTTCCGACTCTGCGACCATAACCAACCTTATACAACCTGGTTTCATGCCTTTTAACAATCGTTGGTAGGTATTGTGTAGTTAAGTAGCAGAATCTTGCATCGCGAATAGCAGAAACTTCACTCGTACATTATTTGGAGAATAATCTGTTACTAAATAAGTGAGCTTCGTAAAAGTTCATAAAAGATCATGTTTTGAATTGTTTATCTTAAAACAGGTCTTCATTGGATTCAAATTTGATTGTATGTTCACTAATGTGCATTAATACATAATTACCTGTAATTATTATACATTAAGTTAGTATCTTTATTCGAATTCTAACAGCGTACCTAATAATAAAAATTCAAGCTGTTTACAGAAAGGGTCAAGGTAGAGGCCAGTTATGTTGAAAGAATGCATATCAGAATTTGGAATTTGGTAACCGAAGGTAAAGGCGTTGCGATATGCGTAGAAAATTTAATTAATTCGTAGTCAACCAAATTGCTTTTTTCGATAAAGTGTGATAGAATTGGTTCCGTAATAACTGTAGTTGGTTGGCAACCATATTCATGGAGGTGTAGCTTCTTTCAGAGATGAAGGTAGCTTGAAATGAGTGATGTTCAAAACTGTGGAATGTGGATTTATGCCTGTCACGAATTTTTCCCATTCGAAGAAGTATCGAAGCATGCTTAATGGACTTTTATCATCTTGTTGAGTAAACTTGAGAAACCTAATTGTAAATTACCTAAAATATGTGTTCCTTCTATTCTGTTACAAACATGGTGATTTATTTGGAGACCCATCAACCATTTCTGAAATACCGACACCGAAAGATTTCATAGTAAAATAAACGATAAATACATTGAATTTTTTCCAAGAATACGAGTTTCTCAAAAAATCGCATCCTTATTAAGTTACTAGCGAAAAGAGCAAATTTCATAATAGTCACGTAAACATGCCATTTATTATATTGATTTCTTTCAATATCAAAGAGAGTTCCTCATAAGTAGTTTTTTAGTATTTTAAACATAGTGTAATTTCTATCTGCTGTAATGATGATTAAAAAATGTCACTTTCTCACTTGCATTTAAGTTACGGAGCAGTATACAATGCTATGATATTTTAATATTAATACTAGTAAATCCCTACTAATATTATAAATGAGAAAATGTGACAACAATCTCCAGAGACGGTTGACAAACTTACAGTTTTATATGGCGCTTTAGCGTGTAATTTGTGATTAATTTCGTTAGTTTAGGTGATTTGGCGTGTTTTGCATAAGTCTTAAAAAACAGTGAACCAAACATTTATTTATGATAACGTAAGTTTATCTGGAGCGCTAAAGACATTTCATTCTGAAAAGCTACAAGCGCGTTTTCAAAGACTAAGTCTTAAGTTATATTTAGAACGAGTCTATTGTTGATTTTTCTAAAGTGATAACTTTATAACGTCTATAATGATATACTTCATTAAATTGTATTGATAAAACATTCTACATAATACTAAAATTATCACGTAGAATCGGTAACACAAAAAAATGTTACGCAAATACTCTTAAATGTTCAAAAGCAAACGCTCTAACACAATGCATTTCATACCGACGAGCGGAACATTTGACAGCCAACTTGCATGTTTGACGAATTTGGTTACGTTGTTAGTGGCGCCACCTACACGTTCCGCGAGTAAAACCGAAGGGAAGAAAGCTAGTAGAAACTATATTTTTAACGCACATTGGTCCCTTTATAGTTTTTTTATGCAACTATAAATGTAAGCTTATTATTTTCACTTTATTATAAGGAAATCTATAACCAGTTTCGCCTGGTTTACAGAGACGCATTTCCTTGGCCAGAAATATATAAGCGTAAGAACGTATAGGTCATGAAACACCAATAGTTTTTAATTAAACAGGAAGATAAGTGAACCATAAACAAGGATGTCCTCGAGATTGTAAAAATTCTGGCCAACGTTCAATTCCATATGTAAAATTCAGGAAACTTGACGATGTTTGAAAAATTTCTCAACAGTTATTTGTGTACACCTGGAATTGTGGCTTAAGATCCAGCCGCGTGAATCTGTATGTTTTTTTTTTGTGAAACTCAGAGAGTCGAATTTTTTTGACAATTCTGACAATATTTCGACTCAAATGTCAACCAATAAGTGTTGCACCAATATGTAAGAGACGATGACGCGAAACCCTAGAGGATCTGTTAGAAGAAAGGTTTCTCACTGCTAGGTATACTGGATGCACGGGCTTCAGGGAAAAGAGGCGGTTGCAGGGTTATTCCCAGAGGTCGACTGGAATGTCAGTATGGACCTCGCAAGAAAGGGTTTGTCGCTCATATGTTAGAAGCATCTTTTTGGAGAGTATGATAGAGGAAGGCTTTCATTCTGATGACATTCGCAGAGCGACGAATCTTGTTCATTCAGTTAGAAATGTTCTTCATGAATTCCGTAATGAAGAATGGAGCGACTTTCTGGTGGGGATGCTTGACTCAAGTATTCCCTTCTGGAAGGTTGCAAAGTCACTCAGAATCGGAAAGCGAGAACAGCTACCGCACATCGACGATCCTGGAGATATAGCCTTTAGGACGGAGGAAAAGGTCGAGGTTTTCGCCGATGCTCTGGAAAGACAGTTTTCTCCCAGCTATGACCTTGATGATGACCTCGACGAGGAGCAACACTCAACAAGATCCGTCAGGGTATATTTTAAGCACAACGGCATCTGTGATAGCAGGGCTTCCTTTAGTGATTTTTCCTGAGAGGAGTATTCAGAAGATTCCTCAACTGAAGAGTTGCCTGGCACATAAGCAAAATCTCCCGTAATCCCGCATTGCACATCAGCAGAGCTTCGTCATATTAAAAGTCTCAAGGTGCGTAAAGTATACTAAGTGACATATGGGCGTTTCTCTGTAAACTGGTCAACTTATTTGGAAAAACTGTCTTGTCCACTTTTTTGCTTAAATGTTTGAAACATCTTACTTAGGAGATGTATACTTTCAAGCTTAATGACAAACCACGGGGAACCCAAAAATATAGGTCATAATTTAGGAAATATTAAGCATTTTCTAAATTATTGACACAGGGGACTGTCAGTTATGGCGTCCCCTGTGTACTCAAATTAAAAATGCCAATATATTAGCAAAATTAAATATTTTATTTTCTCTAAACTTGGAAATTAACAATTATAGTAATTCTTCGGTAAACTACGAAAAAAATCAATACTTTTATTATACTCGTGTTACAGGTACAAAACTTTGTAAGCTTAAGGTAACATAATCAGTATTTTACACACAACCATTAGTTTTACGAAGCTTAACGTTTTTCAAAAACATTAATAGGTGGATCAAATGTATAAAATAGTCTATTTTTCCCTTTGAACGTATGTTTGGATTAGGTAATTTTTCTATCACTTGATCCATTGTAATATCTGCTATATCGTCCGGATCCATTCTAAATGTTTGACCTTTATTATCGTAAAGCTTTAAAAATGTAACTCGAATTTCCCCATCTTCATCGATTTTGTTTATAACGCTTACATATCTATATTGCATATTTTTTGAGACTAATTCGACTAGGATGTAATCTCCATTGATGAGTGCTTTAGCTGCGGAAGATCTATTTTCATAGTTTAATTTTCCGAGGTTAAAGTGAAGGGAACCATCTTTGTTACAAAAGCAGCTTAGATATTTCATCACTATCCCAACTGACTCGGATTTTAAGTCCAAAGAGTTATAGAATTTTCCGACGACGCGTCCTCCGAGTAGTTTTGCTTTTTTTATTCTTCTGTAATTAATCACTTTTGTGTTTTCCATACGCCATAATTTGTAATTTTCCACTAGTTTTCTGAATACTACTTTGGTCAAAAGCGTTTTTTCTTTCAATGTTTCTATGTTTGAGAAGTTTTCTTGTAATTGTTCTTTTAACACCTCACCAAACAATGCCTTCTTGACTAGATCTTTCTTAGTTTCTGGACTATCTGCTAGTTAGTATCTTTACACATTTTTCTTTCCTTTTTCATCAGTCTCGAAACACATTTTCTATATTCCAATAATTTTCTTTTTAGTAATTTAATCTCATCTTTTTTCTTTTTTATTTGATATCTAAGTTTCTTCTCCCTATTAATTCGTTTTTTGAACATATCAACATCTTGAGGTGTTGTTGGTCGGGATGAGGGCGATGTTTCCGAATCTGGTGTATTTTCTCGCAGATCAGTGTTAGTTATATTTGTCAACGCTTTCTTATTATTCCGATAAGCAGAACAATGCTCTCTCCATTTCTTTCTAGCATCCCGGTGATCTCGTGGCGTCATATCTTTAACAAGCTTCCTAGTCCCCTTTTCTTTTTCTTTTTTAAGGTATTTCAGGTGTCCCTTTTCTCTTAGCTCTTCCCTTCTCTGCGGGTCGTTCTCTTGAGGCGCTCGTACTTTTTCCATTCAGCATCCTTTTCTTTTGTAAAATTTCCTCCTTCGTCTGTGTTTTCTTCCTTGGTGCCAGGTTGTAATAATATCTCGTGCCTATAACAATGCTACATACACATTAGGACAGTTCTCTGGAAGTAAGAACAATCCCCTGTCCTGTTTAAATGCAGGGACTGTTGCCACGGGACTGTTCAGTTAGATTAGATTGATAAGTAGCACAATACAGTATCCATTTGTTTTATTTTGATGCATACAATTGAAAATTATCTATTTGAATAAAGTACATTATGTGAAATATGACTTAAAAACACAGAAAGGAATTTAAATATTTTTTACCAGAGGACTGTAGGCTTTTAGGTTCTGACGCGGGTAACTCGGATCAACACGTGTGCAGCACTGAAGAAGATGGCCTCAGGGCCGCTCTGGTAGCAACCGCGTCAACTTCACTGTGTTCGCGTTGCGTTGAACGCAATAAAACGATATTTTTGCGTTCTAGGCTTTATGCCACGTCATTTGAAATATACACAGGGGACTGATCGCTATATAGTGTGACCAACTCAAACTAATCTGTTTTTTCTTTTTTTAATAGATAAATGAAAAAATAAGCACTGTTAGTAATGCCGACTGTATTATGTTTAAATTAATACTTTAATTAGTCGATTTCTAAACTTATTTGTTTCAATACCTGAATCAGAAGCCATTGCACCGCTTTGGTGACATACCAGAGCACTGTTTTTTGAGCATTACAACAATGTTTTTAGAATATTAAGAGAAGCTTATATAGATAATTCATACTAAGGACAGGTGGACTAGATCATTATGTTTCGAAAATAGTAATGAAATAAATAATAATCTCTTCTATTTTAGATTATTACGGTAGGAGACAACGAGTTGACCACTTTACAGAGAAACACCCATATAAATCCGAACACCCAGTTTAAATGGTTTTATTTTAATAAAAGTTGGTGAATGTATTTATCTTACTGTAAATAACAAGTGAAAAAATTTTCTGCCTTATCAGTTGGACATTCCGGTTTTTATACTGCTTTTTTTTTAATTCACTAACGCTCTAAAAATGAATATTTCAGCCGACATCCTTTACGATCGGTTACGATGCCTAGAGTACGGAGACCTGTACGATTTCGTCAACTTAGTGAGTTTGATAGGGGCCGTATAGTGGGACTTCGGGAAGCTGGACTTTATTTTCGGGCAATTGCAGTTAGAGTGCAAAGAAGTGTAGACACTGTGGTTAGGTGTTGTCAGGCATGGCTTCGAGAAGGCCGTACGCAAAGAGCAAGGGGCACTGGACGCCGCCGTAGAACAACAGACCGTGAAGATCGCCGCCTAAGATTATTGGCCTTAAGGGACCGTTTCTCCACTACCAGGTCCATTGCAAATGAATGGTTTGCAGAACACGGAAGACCGATTGGCATGCGAAGTGTTTACCGACGAATGAGAAGTTTTGGCTTGTTTTCATACCGGCCACACTGGGTCCTCCCTTTAACTCGAGAACACCGACGTAATCGCCTTGAGTGGTGCAGACAACGGTCACTCTGGGATCAGGAATGGAACAGTATTGTCTTTAGTGACGAGTCTCGATTTTGTTTAGGCATGCACGATGGTCGTGCCAGGGTTAGAAGGCGACGTGGTGAAAGGAGGAATCCACAGTTTTTTGTTGAAAGACATGTTCATCACACTGTTGGAGTTATGGTTTGTGGTGCTATAGCTTATGGTTCCAGGTCACCTTTAATCTTCATCAGAGGTAACGTGAACGCGCAGCGTTATATCCACGAAGTTCTAGAACCCCATCTTTTACCCTATCTTGACACCCTGGCAGATCCAACTTTCCAACAAGATAATGCCCGACCATATGTTGCAAGAGTCACAATAGACTTCTTTCAACATAATGATGTCACATTGTTACCATGGCCACCAAGATCTCCCGACTTATCCCCAATTGAGCACGTGTGGGATATGATGAGTAGGAGATTGCTCAATTTGCAACGTCCTCCTCAGACTTTAGAAGCACTTCGAGAGGAGTTGGTGATTGCCTGGAATGAGATACCACAGGAGGACATTGACCACCTGATCAGAAGCATGCCTAGGCGCGTTGGAGAATGCGTAGCACATCAGGGTGCATCCACACATTATTAAAGGTCAAAGGGCTTTAAAGCAGTGCAATCATTTTGAAATTTTTATCATTTACTTATTATGCTTCATTAAGTACTTATACAAAATTTTATTAAAATAAAACCATTTAAACTGGGTGTTCGGATTTATATGTCACTTAGTAACTTAGTATACCTGGAGAGGATCGAATCACTAATAAGGCGCTTAAGCTGCTTTTGCGGAAGTCATTAATTTATCTCGTGACAATAATCAACATCATGCTAAGAATCCAGTACTTCCCAGCGGCGTGGAAGACCGCTGATGTTATAATGATTCCAAAGAAGATGGGTTCGATATTCCCCCAGGATTTCCATCCCATTAGTCTACTGTCCGCTCCTTCTAAGCTCGCTGAAAAGGTCATTCTACGTCACTTTGGAAAATTCTCGTCAGACCACAATGTGACTTCTGACGTGCAATTTGGCTTTCGGTCAGAGCATAGTACGTTACAGGCGGTTAGTCTTGTTGAGCGAGTAACCAGGGGATTAACCCGTAACGAGGACGAGGTATTGGAATGGAAGGATCGGAGATTAGTACAAAGTAAACTCTGAAACAAATCACGAACGCAGCCCTGTACAATCAATCCAGTCCACAGCTTTGGCCAAGACAGCACTTTACACGCTGACATTCTGATCTCAGCTGATAAGCTGGTAGAAAAAACTAGTAGCGACTTCCTCTCTGACGAGAGATCATGAAGCTATCACCTCTGAGGGCCAGTTTAATGGTTTCAAAACACAGAATGTTGAAGTTTGTAGAACGATCTGTATGAGGACCCTTTTCTCAGTTCTGCTAACCTTAGGCTGTTCAAAAATCGGATTAACAAGGCGTCTTTAAGTTCCTTATAGCTGTCGCGGTACCCGGTATTTAGGTTTCTACCTAATAAAGAAAAATAATAATCCAACATTTTTATGCTTTTGTATGAAATATTTTGTACAGTAGTGGTCATTTTCCAGAAATATGCATGATAACGCATATATTGAAAATCTTGTGCCGTATGCATTGTTGTTTATTCACTTGAGACGCCCGTATTTGCAGGTTGCTAAGTTCCAAGCTTCCTGAAGCGAATTCGACACTATGCTTTCCATTAATTCCCAAAATGTATCTCAAGTGAGAAATGGAATTTTACCCCATCCTTCATTGAATGCATTCCATTGAATCCGAAATAGAGTCATTGGTTACGTTCAGTTGCACCTGGCTGTTACGATCTATCGCTGCGTGAAGCGTGGCTTAGCCTAGTTGTTGAATATCTATCGATATTGGTTGCATTTGCTGACGTCCAATACAGCTTAGCATCACATGTTCCATACAAATGACTTCTGCCAATCGAGCTTTCAAAATTTCAAAGCAGTCTATTCAGATAGCATCTAGCTATACTTAACGCAGCGAAGATACATTTTATTTTTATTTTACATGGATCCAATTATTGTCCATATCTTCTGGATAATCTTGTACATTAAATTTACTTTACATCATATTCTTACGCCCTGTTACGATAGTATTAAAGCCAGATCGCCTTCCACAAAAAAGCAGGACGAGAGTGGCGGTCCGATAAGTACTTAGCCTTAGCCGAGGGCGCCACTATCGCAGGAGAAATTTACTATCGTGTAGTACATTCTCGTAGACGACTACTTTCGAAATTTCAGGCGAATGGAACTCGTAGTTTTGTTTTGGCCGCGTTAGGTTTTAGAAAAACGGATCGGTCGGTGATTCGATCCTTGTTTTCGAAATCGCGCAGCGAAATCAAAGAACGCTTGCTGTATACCGTGACTCTTCTCATTCGATGGCGACCGTCAAAAATTGGTTTCACTAGTTTCAACGTGGTCGCCCGTCGGTATTTGATGACATACCCAGGTGTCTCGAAAACGGATACCACGATTAACGTGACAAAAATCCACGACTTTGTATTGGCAGATTACTGATTGAAGGTGCGCGGGATAGCTGAGACTGTTATCTTAAAAAGACCGCGTGGGTCATATCCTGCATGTACTCGTATAGTGGAAAAGTCGAAACAGTGGACTTCACCCGGCGAACGTGCTCCGAAGAAGGCGAAGACTGCCCTATCGGCTGGAAAGGCAATGGCCATCGTTCTCTGATATTCACAAGGTGTGATCTACGTCGACTTCCTGGAGAAGGGCAAGACGGTCACAGGTCAAAGTGCTCATCCGCCATGACAACGCACCGGCTGTCACCTCCGCCGTCGCCACGGCCAAATTGGTTGAATCAGGCTACGAATTGCTGACCCACCCACCTTATTCTCTAGATTTGTCCCAGTGCGACTTCTTTTTGTTACGAAACTTGGAAAAGTCACTCGCCGGTCAGAGATTTGAGTCGAATGAGGAGGTTATCGCCGCCACGGACGCCTACTTTGCAGATCTCCAGAAAACGTATTTTTCAGACGGGTTAAAGAAGTTGGAGCCTCGCTAGGTCAAGTGTATCGAGCTAAAAGGAGACTATGTTGAGAATTAAATCGCCACCTTTTGAAAATTTTCGTTTTTCTTTTGTACTATGTACTTACCGGACCGCCCTCGTACGTACCCACAGAAATGCAATAGTGTCAACTTATTGCATAATATTGAACACACACGTGCTATGGCTTACAATAATTTTTTATTTACTAGAAATTCTATTATGGAAAATTCAACAACAATCATATAAACTCAGCAACGCAAAAAATATCTTCTGTGTTTGGTATTATTAACCTCTCTAGAATCCAAACCTGAGTATCGTTGTACATATTATTCATTGAGTACCCATATGCAACGGGTTATTAACCTAGTTATTAGTCTATTGTTATGTCAATTATTGAATACTAATAAGTAAATATGCAGATTAGCTTAGATTTCTACTGTTGGGAGAACGGTTACTATTATAGATAAAATTAATCGAGTTCATATACTTGAATCAAATTACATATAATTAGAATAAAATCTAATTCAGTTGTTGACAACTGTTACGGTCTGCTTCCTTGGTGTCTATGCGAAACCAATCCCATGCTGAAGTGATTTAAAACATGATTCTAGAACCGTAAAGACTAGAGACTTTATACAGGTTGAAGTATCTTGAAACAAGACATTCCTTTAATAGGCAAGATGAAAACCGATATCTAATATACAAGGAGAACCAAATTTGTCTGACGGCTTGAGTTCAATGTGTACGAGAGAGAAGTATGTATAAACACATATTTTAGAAATCGATAGAAGCCGGCTGGATAACAATGCTCATCATCGCGTTGCCAAGCATCGCTGACGCGGCAACGTGCTGCTCCCCGATTATCCGAATCGCGATTATCCGAAATTCGCTATATTCGGAACAGATCGCATACAATAATTCCTCTGTTTTAACCGAAG